CTGCAGATACTGACAGGAAGATTAGATACCGATATGGGCTTGCCATCTAAGGAAGGAACCAAATTATCTGATGGGTTTGGAGGCATCCATCAGTCCATCGTCTCCTGGGTTCCACTTGGTGATTCTGTTAAGCAGTAGTTATAAGCTGTACGCCAAAGTTTCTGTAGACTGGTCATAGAGGGCTTAAGTCTCCAATCGGCCAACCTCATCAGAAACCTCCATTCTCATTCTGTTGTAATCTGTGGGCATCTTGAACTGTTTGCAGTACTTCTCCTCCACTTGTGCTGTAAACAAAGGGAAGATTTTACTCTACGTGGCTGCCAGCCCAGCTCTTCTGCACACCTATGTAGTAACAGGGATACGGAGCCAGGACAGTGGCTTTCTCCAGGCAGGGCTAGAGCAGCAGCATCCCAAAGGTTTTACCATGCTCACCAGCACTTTACACAGGGAATGAAGCACTGCCTTCCCGGGATGCAGGTAGAAAACCTGAACCACTCCCCCCGCTTAGTGCTACAGAGGTTAAAATAATGCTTTGGTTTGGTGTCTTATGTAAACCTATGGGTACTCTTCAACCTGTGAGTTGTCCAGATAGAATGAATCACATATTATTTACCATTTCCCTCCCAGTCAACAAAATGACTTTTGAACAAAACAGAAAGCTTTATGACAATTAAGGTGATTACATTTATCATGATGTCAAAAACAAAAACCACAAACCAATATGGGTTTTGGAACTTCTTGTTTTCCAGTAAAAACTTGAGGACTCTTGCAGAAAACATTTTTTTTTTTTACTTCTAAGTTTTTTTGCAGAAAATACTTTTTTTTTTCTGACCATCTTTGGTGAGCGGGTCTATGTTGCACTCAAAATTACACACATGTTTTAAGTACCTTGACCAATTGCATCCATTCATATATCATTTAAATATTGCAGTAAAAAAATCAAGGCTTGTTTTTCTGCCCATCGCTAATTCTCTGTAACTACAGCAGGTCAGTTTTTTTCCTCAATAGAACAGATTTCTATAAGCAATGCTGATTCAACTAAATCAAAACATTCCATGGGGATGTATCAATGTTGTTGAAATATTTGAAGGAAAATTATTGAAATGATTCAGTGTGACAAGGTTGAAGCATCTTGTTTTGACTTTATCATCTTGATTTCAGTTTATAATGTAAGCTGTGGAAACATTACCGTCAAAATGAAAAGTTTTTTCCCCATATAGACAAGCAACATTTAGACAGTTAAAAATTAATTTTCTGATTTTTTTTCCACATGAAATTTTGAATTTTCATGGAGACTTGGGAATAAAGAAAAGGATTTCTGGCAAAACAGAAATTTAGGTTCTGATCAGCTCTGCATATAATATTTAGTCCATATATGAAAATGGCATGAGAGAAGCAGGAAGAAAATGGTTACAAATAAGATATATCTGGTTATGTTTTTTTGGAGTGTGTGATTATTAGTCATTCAAGGCAGAATTACAGAAATCATGGATCACGGATAAGATTGAAATAAAATGCTAGCTCCTTTGATCACTTGCATATTTGCTCTACTGCAAAACCTCTCTTTTTTTTTTTTTTTTAAAGCTTTCCACTATTTCTAGTGCTTTTATAGATGTTGACAGAAGTGCTCTCTTCCGTCTGTAGATAATGTTACCTTGTAAATAAAGCCACAAATGCAAAATAATTGCCTGGAGATTCAGAAAAATGGCTAGTAATTCTGAATACAAGATTATTGCTTGAAACATCTGCTCCATGTTAGTGGTTTTGTTGTTGTTTTTGGTTTTGGCTTGTTTTGCTGTTTTTTTTTTTTTAATATCTTCATAATAAAACGTATGCAGCGAATTCTCCTGGCAGTTTTTTCTGGAGCCACTCTATCAAAATAAATGAGATAACATTAGTGTAATTAAAGGGAGACATTAACCCATTAATCAGTGTACAGATTTTTAGCACTAAGAGCCAAATTCTGCTCTTTGGTAACTTATATTCTTTGGCTATGTCTACATTGGCATGGTCTTGTGCAAATACTCTTTAACAGAAGAGTTCTTGCGTTAAAGTAATTGCGCAAGAGAGAATCTACGCTGTCATGTGCTTTTGCGCTAGAGATGTGCTTTTGCGCAAGAGCATCCGTGCCAGTGTAGACACTCTCTTGCGCAAGAAAGCTCCGATGGCCATTTTAGCCATCGGGCTTTCTTGTGCAAGAAATTCATGTTGCCTGTCTACCCTGGCCTTTTGTGCAAGAACAGTTATGCAAGAGGGCTTATTCCTGAGCGGGAGCATCATAGTTCTTGTGCAAGAAGCACTGATTTCACACATTAGAACGTCAGTGTTCTTGCACAAGAACTCCCCGCCATTGTAGACAAGCAGCATGTTTTGTAGACACAGCCTTTCATTGTTCCTGATAATCTGTCACAACAGAGGCAGACTGTGGTTCCACATGCAACTGATATATCAATACAGAGCCTATGCAAAGATTGGCCAGCAGGAGGTACTGTTAAGAAATGGCTAGTGGCACAAACAGAAGTCAGGAATTCAGGATTATCTTGAATTCTACCTGCTGTTTATGGCTCCCATTACCTTGCATTACAGCACCTCTGCCATTTCAAAAATAGAACTAGCAGTAATGATTCTCTCCCTCTCAGACCATAAGAAAAATAATCCGCGCGGGTGTATGAGATAGAAGATAATAGATATAAGCGTAGTTCGTAACACAGCATTGTGGTCATGCATCTCTTTGTGGGAGTGAATGTGCTAGGTTAGGCCCAGGTATCTCCTATTAGCACAAGTCACCGCCTACCTTGGGATGGCTTTGTTGTTCTGGTGGAATGTTGCTGTTTTAGAAGCGCACAGTCCCAGGAAATGAGGGGATGCTTTCTGGGCTAATCTGTTGGGAGGCTTTGACGGACAAAACAAGCCGCAGCTGGATTCTGTGTTCCCAGGCGGGGAAGAAGGCAGTGGGAAGAGTTGAGCCCCAAGTTAACATGTAAATGTTGACCTGGGTTGCAAAGAAGCAAAGTGGCTGCATTTTGTACCAGTTGGAGGGTTTTTTTTTTTTTCTGGGGATGTGGCTTAGAGCCAGTGGGAACATTTTGTCAAGAAAACACACATGTCCACTTGCTCTGTAGCCTGGTGGCTAGGATACTGGCTTGCAATGTGGGAGTGCTGGCTTTTAATTCCTCCTCTGCCTTGAGCAGACTGATTAAAATGAAAAACTCTGCTATGAATAAGGCACTAGAACCTGATTCTCCCACATGCCAGAACAATGCTCTATACATTGCTCTACAGTTACCTAATGCAAAAGCTTCTGTTTTGATCCCAGAATGGACACTCACAATTCTGTTTTACACACACACACACACACACACACATGGAAGGTTACACACACACACGGAAGGTTTTACACACGCACACACACGCACACAAGGGAGGTTTTACACACACACGCACACAAGAAAGGTTTTACACATACAGGCACACAAGGGAGGTTTTACACACACACACATGCGCACAAGGGAGGTTTTACACACATACACACGCACACACACACGGAAGGTTGTGTTTTTGTTAAAATGCGGTATCAAAACCATTTTTGAAACCGCTAAGGATGCTGCAAAATGGAATTGTCATCCTCTGATCAAGCTCAGATTTAATCCCTAAATGCAATGAGATGTAATAACCAAACCCGGAGGCCATGCACATCCATGCCCAGGCCTCAGAATGATAGGATGGGAATCAACCTTCTGGACATCGGCAAGTGGAATTCTTTGGTGATGCATCCATGCCTTATAGTGGTAAAATTTGTGACATCAGTGTGTTTGTTTTAAAGGCACACATTTTCTTTATGCTTATCCGAATCTACATTGTATTATTTTGTGGCGCATGATCTCAGATGGCAGTAAAGTGTTGTGCCATCATCCACCAAGTTCTTCTTTAAAGAGAAGCTAGATAATTTCATGGAGGTTAGGTCCATAAAAGGCTATTAGCCAGGGGATAAAATGGTGTCATTGGCCTCTGTTTGTCAGAGGCTGGAGAGGGATGGCAGGAGACAATTCGCTTGATCATTGTCTTCGGTCCATCCCTCTGGGGCACCTGGTGCTGGCCACTGTTGGCAGACAGGATACTGGGCTAGATGGACCTTTGGTCTGACCCAGTACGGCCGTTCTTATGTTCTTACAAGAAAAGAAAATTCTTTTAAACAGGATCCACACCACGAATTTCATCTCTTGCTAATAACTGATCTTTGTTCCAGTCAAGTGTCGGAGTAGAGTACATGGCTACATTAGACAGCCTTAAATGTTTCCCTTATTTGTCCTCTTTAAAAACTGATAACTGATGTCTCTATTGGCAACACCCATGTCAGAGGTACTTTCAAAAGAAATGTACGGTTGTTAGGCTTTCCTCTAAAAGTCTTTCTCTGCCATATGGCCCATATAACAGGTCCACGTGAACTGTAATACTCCTGCTATTGGGTTTCCATAAAGAAAATCAATGGCTATCACTATGAAAAAAACACATTTTTTTTTTTTACTGAACAAACAGCCTAAGACACAGTGCTTGGCCATGCCTGGAAAGGATGTAGTATCTTGTGTAAAAAAATAAAAAATAAAAATAAAATAAATAAAAAGAAAACTCGAGTAAGCTTATAACATACTGAAGTGATAACTTAGTCGCTCACTCTCAGCTGTTTGGCATTTACAACAATTATCATCATCTTCTCTTCTATCGAGAATTAATGTTTCTTATTGTACGTGTTTATTTTAAAGTGCAGCGGGAAGATGCTGTTTTAATTTTTCCTAATCCAATTTAAATGCAAATGTTAACCACTCACATGATGCTGTGTGTACATAATTAAGCATCATTATATACTACATGAATCATTCAAAAAGCTCCAGAGAGCCATTCCACTATGTAAAACATAGGCTTTACACTGAAAAGCAGCCAAGTGGCTTGTGCCTGGTGTGATTAAGTATTTGGACTCATTAAAGCTCTCTTCTGATTTATAGGTCAACCGATTATGGAACGACGTATGAGAAACTGAATGATAAGGTTGGCCTGAAGACAATTTTGAGCTATCTGTACGTCTGCCCAACCAACAAGCGCAAAGTAAGTGAGAATAGGTTTAGTGCGTTCTTAATTTATTTTGTGAATTCTCTCTTGGCTGCTTAATCTTCATCCGTTTTCCGAATGTCCATAACTGTTAATGTAAGGACCATGCGTAACCCACACACCTAGGCTATGTCTACACTCGTGGCTTCTTGCGCAAGTAATATGCAAATGAGGCTGAGTGGAATATCGCTGAGCCTCATTTGCATACCTAATGAGCCACCATTTTTAGAGAAGATGCTCTTGCACCAGAAGGAGCTGTCTACACTGTGCCTTCTTGTACAAGAAAAACCCTTTTGCGCAATGCCCTTATTCCTGAAAATAATCAGCGTAGCTGCATTACGCAAGAGGGTTTTTCTTGTGCAAGAAGGGACAGTGTAGACAGCTTCTTCTGGCGCAAGAGCCTCTTCTGCAAAAAATGGTGACTCATTAGGTATGCAAATGAGGCTCGGCTCATTAGGTATGCTAATGAGGCTCGGCAATATTCCACGCTTAGCCTCATTTGCATATTACTTGCGCAAGAAGCCACGAGTGTAGACATAGCCCTAGTGTGGTTACTGAGCAATGCAGGTGGTACCTAGACCACAGCAGCAGTTAAGACCAAGAGACCTCTACAGCAGGGGCTAGGAGCCACCTGGCTTCTAGCTCAGAGGGTAGAAGCTCCTATACTCTGCTTCAGAGGTTCTAGGTTCAAAACTGCCTGGTGGTGGTTACACGTGCTCCAGATCCTGTGTTGGAGTAAATTGGTGTAGCTGTATTGCGTATCTGGTGCTGTGGTTGTCTACATCAGTGGTCACCCACCAGTAGATCAGGATCTACTGTTAGATCTTGGAGCCTCTGAAAGGTGATCCTGACAGGTTTGGCCAGGAGGCTATCCAGTGCTGGCACTTCATTTGCCCCTCAGCACTGCTGTATTGCTCCTGCCCTCGAGGTGCCCCTCCCTCCTGAGAGCCTCCTGCTTACTGTGCAGGGCACGGAAAGAAGAGGGAGGGGAGGGGTGTAGATGTCACGGTGCCCCTCCCTCCACCTTGTACTCCATCTCCACTGAGAAGAGGGGGGCAGGAATGGAGGGTTTGTTGGCTGCTTTTGGGAGTGGTGCAGGACCAGGGTAGGGGTGAGCCTATCTTAGCCCACTGCACCACCACCCAGAAACCATCTGTGGTAAATGGTGCCCAGCTGGAGCCTGCATTCTGAACCCCGGCCTCAGTCCTGAACCCCTCCTTCACCCCAAACCCTTGCCCCCTGCCTGATAAAAATGAGTGAGGGTGGAAGAGGGAGGATGGAGTGAGCAGGGGCGGGGCCTCGGAGAAGGGGCCGGAAGGAGGCAGAGCAAGGGTGTTTGGGTTTGAGGTAGATCCTGGATTGCACTTAAATTCAAAAAGCAATCACATGCTTAAAAAGGCTGGGGACCACTGGTCTACGAGTCCTAGATGGGCTTAAAAGGTATCGAGCATTCAATCGTATTTACACTTCTAGCTGGGGATGATTGCATTGTTTGGAAGAGGAGAGACTCTAAGACAGGGGTGGGCAATAATTCTTGCAGGGGGACCACTTAATGAATTTTGATATCTGGTCACGGGCTGGCTCCACCCCCAGAAGGGGCGGAGCCTAGGGAGGAAGTGGCTGGGGACTAGCCTATCCCCAGAGTAAAAATACAGCCAAGGGCTTGCAGCTCCCAGCTCTGCCATTACTGCGTTGCCTAGCAGCCACCTGGGTGGCTGCAGCTATTTAAAAGGTTTGTGGTCCCTGGGGTAGTGCCGTGGCTGGGAGTCATGAACAGGATCCTGCTGCCTGAGGCACTGCCTGGAAATTCAGTGGCATGGGCAGAAGGATATCAATAGAAAGCAGCCAGAGCAAAGTGTTAGGTGGGCTGCATCCGCCCCCCGGGCTGCATCTTGCTCAGCCTTGCTCTAAGATATTGGGAAAGTGTCTCCGGAGGCCAGATTGCATGTAAGGTCACTTACCTGGAAAGTTCGCCTGCTAACCAGCTGAACAGGCATGGACAAAATCATGAAGAGAAAATGCCTCCCAAAGCCCAAAAGGTTTTAATTAGGTAAGCACCCCCCAGACTAACCATGTAGTGAGAACGTACAGGGCTGGCATACTGGTAAAAGGTAGAGAATACCTTCTCTTCTGTACGTTTCTGATGGGGTCTCCGGTTGTATGGAGGGATAGGGCCGAGGATATGAAGGAGCAGCGTGATTATTGGAAATAATGTCCTGAATTGTCCCACACAGGCCCCTGATTAAAGGAGACCCCAATTCCATATTGAACCAGTTTTCAGTTGTCTCCATGGTACCCATCATCCCTTGCTGCTCCCTCTCAGACGCCCGTGTGTGTCCTTTCAGAATGCTTGCACAATGGGACTTCATTTTCCTCTCTGCCTGAAAGGCCCTACCAAACTTTGGTCCCTACTGTGCTGTAAATTACAGTTAAAGATGTAGTATTCTATGAGGGTCTAACTTGAGGGAAACTGAGACAGTGCACATGGAGTGGAAATTTCCATGCAGTACACCCAGAATATATGCCGTCATTTAAAAAAACAAAGAAACAAACAAACAAAAACCAGGATTACCAGCATTCTCGATCTTAAACTTTGTGGTGGCCAAAGGCATAAGAACAGCTGTTCATGGATTATTTATTTGGGGTGAAATGTGTCCCCGTGAAGAGTGCCAGCCCAAGGCTAGACAGCAAGAACTACTTACTCCCTTAGGGTATGTCTACACTACCCCGCTAGTTCGAACTAGCGGGGTAATGTATGCATACCGCACTTGCTAATGAAGCCCGGGAAATTCAAATCCCGGGCTTCATTAGCATAAGCGGGGAGCCGCCATTTTTAAATCCCCGCTGCTTCGAACCCCGTGTAGCGCGGCTACATGGGGCTCGAACTAGGTAGTTCGGACTGGGGTGCCTATTCTGAACTACCGGTACACCTCGTTTCACGAGGAGTAACGGTAGTTCGGAATAGGCACCCTAGTCCGAACTACCTAGTTCGAGCCCCGTGTAGCCGCGCTACACGGGGTTCGAAGCAGCGGGGATTTAAAAATGGCGGCTCCCCGCTTATGCTAATGAAGCCCGGGAAATTCAAATCCCGGGCTTCATTAGCAAGTGCGGGATGCATACATTACCCTCCTAGGGGGGTAGTGTAGACATACCCTCAGGATTTCTTCCTTCCACCGCATGGGTGGTGGATTAGGGTAGGGTCTGCAGGATTTAACAGGGATTTAAATGTTGCAGAAGCTTGGTGCTGGTGGGAGGCGGCATTGCAATGTAAGAGAATCTCCATTGATGTAATTGACGTACAGAGGAGCCAGAAGAAAACACAGGGCGGGGGGGAAGTAAGGTTCTGTGTAACTTACCAAGTCCATGTGGTGTCTCTAGCTAATACCAAGAACGAAGACAACAAGATTTGGGAGAAGGGTTTAAAATCAGCTGTACTACATGTTCATTTGTCACCGTTAGGAAAAGCAAATACTGTTGCTTCCTTTTCCGGGGCAAGGGGGAGTGATAAATGGGTGTCTCCTGTTCGGTTGCCGGAGCCTGTGTCCACTCTATTGACTTTTTTTGTGAAAAAAAACCAACCAATTCATCTGAAATGCTGCCTGTGCTCATGGTGCCTAGTATGAGTACAAGGGTTCTGAGGAAGTCTGGGCACTGATTAGACACTTTCACCCTTATTACATATTTATGCTGTAATGAGGGACCCAAGGGTTGAATGTAGTAGTGTCAGAAATACTCACATGGGTCATTTGATTTGATACCCTGCATTTTATGCAACTGCCTTTCCCATAAATGACTCCTGTGCCCTGGAAAGGTTACCGTGTGCACCAGCTAAGTTCCCTTGAGGCAACATCAAATTTTGTCATTTGAAAATATTCAGTTTTAAGTCGAGAAATCTCTCTCACTTGCTCATCTGAGGGCCGACGCATCCATGTTTTGCATGAATCAACCACATTCTGGTTTTCCCCATTGTCCTCTGAATTGCTCCTCCGTGACGTGGGCGCAGGGATGAACCCCGCTCCCGGGTGAGCGGGGAAAAGCATATGCAAAGTCACTTAGATGACTTGAAACCCAGGCCTCTCCAGGGTGTCCAGGTAGCCTGAACAGAACCTTCATAGTCATCCCTTTTTGTACAATGTGCCCTTGAGTCTCTGGGAACTCTGACTCAGGTAAAATGAAATTCCCCAGCTAAGATGAAATTTGCAAATTAAGATCTCGGTTCTGCAAACACGTACACATGTGGGTAACTTTATGCAATGAATGACCCTGTAGATTTTAGCGGGGTGTTAAGTTCTTCCTGGGAAGACGTGTTTGCAGAATGGGGTCTCATTAACGTCATTCTAATTTAAATGAGCCTATAGCTCATGGGCAAGTTTAACATTAGTACTTTTGAATGACATGTGAGCCACAGCAGAAGCAGATATAATCCCCTTCCCTATCTCTTTACTGGCATGCTCAACATATACACTAAACTGCTCTAGTCTGACACCTTCAGGACCTGACTGGTGCTGCATAACTGACACCAGGTGGATTTGAACCTGGGACCTCTGGAGCTGAGTGTAGGAGCCTTTATCCTCTGAGCTAAAAGCCAGCTGGCTTCCAGCCTGTGCTGTAGAGGTCTTTTGGTCTTAACTGTTGCTGCGGTCTAGGTGCCTCTGCATGGTAACCACACTAGGTGTGTGGGTTACAGCTGCACTAGTGAATTTGCTGTCTAGCAGCATTACCAATGCATCCCCTGCTTACTGGACTCTTACTGGGTAAATAACAGCACGTAACACTAAGGGCCATCACCGATGGCTGAAAATAAACTTTATGGGACTGCGGGAAACTTGGCCACATCCCTGATAAATGGACATCTGGCCAACTAAAATCGTGCCGGACCACGGATGTTGCTGGACCAGAGAGTGGCAGACAAGAGAAGTTCAGCTTGTAGTTGTATAGCTGTGGAAGCACAGGAGCTGTGACTGGTGGCATGAGCTATTCAGGTGTCTGGTTGTCAA